GCTGGATCCTACTTTATCAAAATATATTGTTGACCACCGAAACAAGACTTTCCCCATGGCTAAGACATCATCTGCATGGTAATCAAAATGTAAGGTGCATTCTTTTACAAACCAAATTTCCAAAGCACTTACATCCCCTTGAAAGCAATCGCATTCCTATAAAACGCGCTTTTCCAATGCTTTTTCTAGCCCTTGAAACAGTCATAATAGTATTTTTCGCGTAGAGCCTGTAAGAATTGCTTCTATTCGGTTTTCATCTCATGAAATATTATTCTTTGTTGGCAGTTTTTTATCTTTAGATTATTACGATGCTTGTAGAAAATAAATTTCAGTGACATCTGTGCCAAATGTCACATCAAAACAATCATTAGTGTTTAGTTTACGCTTGACTTTTAGGTACGTGACGCGTTGATAAGAACCACGTCCAGGACGGTGATCAATATCCACTGATGATTAACACGTTAATAAAATAATATAACTGCTGCTGCAGCATCATTGGAATATGGGAAAGATCTGTGCAAATTTTGAAAGATCATTTGGATCTAAGAAAAGTGAAGGTTCGATTGGTTCCAAAATCACAAAATTTTTTCGAAAAAGAGCCCCTCGTTAACATCTATGAAACAATGCCTTCCGACTAACAGGAATTCATGAATCGTATTATTACTGGCGATGAGTATGGATCTCGGCTTACGATCCAGAAACAAACGGTTAATCGGCCGAATATAGTGGCAAAGGCGAGCCGAAGCCGAAAAAACAACGTCAAGACAGGTCAAAAATCAAGGTTAAGCGGACATTTCTCTTGGATTATCGAGGTGTAGGGTAGGGACTTATGAACAAAGTCTCACTAATTTTTGCTCTTAGCAGTACATATAAATAGCCAGCGAGACAAACTGAGTCGTTTTTTCTATTTGACGAAATTTGTTGGCAACCCTACCATATTTCTGAGGTAGGTATAGCATATAGCTGTCATATAAACCAATTGATCAAAATCAAGAAATGGGAAACTAAGTGTCTTCATCTTTTTATCTCAAAGGCGTTCTTAACTGTCCAACTGATGTCCTTCGTAATTCTTGTCTCTTTACTTAGCCTAACCTACATATATGTATGTAGGATCAGTACAAATTCGTGACTATAGCACCCTTTTGAGCTTCAAACACATTTCAAAAATCGTACTTCACAAAACACTAGACGATAGATTTTGGATTGAAGATATGGGCAAAAGTCAGTTCCTCATTTAGGCGTAGAGCTTTCAAGTTATCGAAAACCTCCATTGCGCCCAGCAAGCTCCTGGAATTGTTCAGAGTGTTGCACATTTGAGCTCATATTTGATTAAGAAGAGGACACTATAGATCATAGATCGCGGTGGAAAACCTCAGTTAATTTCTATCTATCTATCAAAACCAAACATGTATTTCAAATCTTCTACGACATGAAAGAACTTTTTTTTCGAAATCTTTTCCAACCCATTTACGCCGTAACCATACAAAACTTAATTTATTACACAACCTTTTATCACTTAGAATTTGGTAAACTGTTTTTTATATGGTTTGTCTCTAAACTTAACCCTTTTCCACTTGTTTCTTGTTACTTTCCTTATTCACTTGTCTGCAACTGTAGAAATTCAGCATTGTCTCGTCTCTCCTGAATGCAGTGCAAATGCCGGTCGCATTGACCCTTAAAAAGTGCAGCCAGGAATACGAAAGGCACGAAGGCGTGCGCTTGTAGTACAAAGCCTGTTACAATGCCAGCGCCACTGCCATGCAGGTGGTCTCACCTCACCTAGTGGTCGGCCCGCGTACCTTTTACTATCTTCTGCCGGTACTCCTACTCGCTGCAGACATTTGCACCGCTGCTACTTAAAAATATTTGGAGTTTGCTGTTGTTGTTAGTTGTTATTCTTATTGTAATTGCTGTTGTTGTTTTTGATTAACATTGTTGTTGTGTTGCGGTTGTTGTTTTTGCTGCACTTAAAGGCATTGTTTCGATTCGGTTGCTGGATTTTAAGAATGGCCAGTGAAAAAGGCAAACGGCAAGGCGGCGCGTTTAAGAATGCAGATATTCGAATAAAGGTGAATATATGCACGTGTGTGTGTGTGTGTGTTTGCGTCTTTCTTGTGGACCACTAAATATGTTAGCGCCGCTAACAACAACACAATGCAACTTAACAACGTATTTGCAGCACTTAAAGTACAATCAATATAAAATGTAGGGAAACAACATCAAATCATTTGCTACACACATACAATACATACAAACTTGAGTATATATGTATGTGAGTACTAGAAAGAATTGTGTGCACTAATGAGCTCAAGTGGCCGAAACGTGGAACAACTTGCTGCCCAACTTTGCAGCAACCATTGTTTTGTTGTATGTAATTGTTGTTGTTGTAGTTATTGCTGTTGACGACCCATGTTTCTGGCTGCTGTGCAGGAATTCGTTTGTTCTACACCTATTTGATGATGTAGCATTTCCGCTTTTACTTAAGCCTTAAGAGTGTTGATAAGCGCTATTGTTTACACACACACACACACACATGCACACAAATAGACTCGGTTAAACACACGCACACGTGCATGTGAAAACCTTTCGTGCCTCGCTTTTGCTGCTGTGTCGAAAGATTTGTTCGATCAATTTGCCTAACAGGTAGATATTAGCCATTAGAAGTGTGTTCTTGGTACCTCATAAATAATATGATCATTTGACTCATGCGCTTGAGAGTATGCACATATATGTGTAAGTATGTCTGTATCTTTATATTGTGTGTTTATAAAAAAATATATTTGAGTGTGTCATGTTTTAAGCGCCAGCATAAATAAGATAAACAAATAAGGTAGAGGAAATTTTGGTTTTTGGAAATGTATATAAAGGGTGATCCATTACTGTTTTTAAAGAAAAACCTCAGAAAATTCAAATTTCATTCGACAGAACATTCTTTGGCATTTATTTTTTTAAGATTATCTCCTTAAAATTTTGGCTGCGGGTGCGTTTCGATGACTTGTTCGAGCATTTCGACTGCTGACTGGCGAATGACGCGCAAGATGCTTTGCATAGACCTTAGACTTTACATATCACCGAAGTGCTCTCTCTAAATCAATCCATTGATTGATGCGATGTGTGGGAAGTGGCGCCGTCATGTTGCTCTTCGTCCCGAATGCGGGAAAAGTTAGCTCGAAAACATCGGATTTTCTTAGAAATTTTCAAGAGCCCATCGAGCTTGCGATGTCGCTTAGGAAGGTCGGGCTTCTTTAGTTCCGGCACAAGCTGTATATTTTACGCTTTCAATTTTCGTTGTTGCAAACGGTGCCAAATCGACTTTAAACGAGCTTCAACCTTGGCTGTTACAATCATATAAAGCTGTACCGATCGCTTGTCATCACAGGCTATCATCTTGATTTGGCACTGGTACCATCCGGCATCTGCGCATGACGGTGTCAGACCCGAATTGCTTAAAAGTACTTCCAGCGACGTACTTGTCAACACAGCTTGAACTTATTTTCATTCAGCTTTCTTCTTCGGGAACATACCAATGATAATGCGGCTCTACGCCACATTTGTAAACGCTTTTGTGTTTGTCTTCGGTTCAAATTTGAAATTGGGTAGATGTAACTTCCCCATTTGTTGGTGTTCGCAACCAACTCAGTCGATATTTCTCTACATACCATGCCTTCGCTGAGTCACCGACCTTGATATCCCCATCGCCTTTCTGCTTAGTAGCCATATTTTGGCTAGTGCTTGGTTTGCCGATGGTGTTTTTGTCTTAATGGTTGCCTGGAGCGAGACCTATCTTACACCTTACACCTAGCCCGAGTCCCGCTGTTCCCAACTGCTACAGGGTCGAATTGCTTCTAGTCCGTCCCCGTATTCGTTTTTATAATGTGGTATCTAGTACCGTTCGGCAACCTCGTAGAGGGTTTAACAGCAGATTTTTGCCAATTACAGTTAGACTTCCATATGTTAATGGGTGTGTGTTTGGTAGTTGTTTGTTTACGGGTCAAAACCATCGAAAAAGCTGAAAAACGAGTTTGTTTGAAACTTTATGGTCAGAAGGTTTTCGTTAACTAACGGGAATTCCTACTCGTTTCCATCCTTGTTAATGACGATAGAATCGAAAAAATAAAGAAACAGTGATTTAGAATCGACGTGTTGGTATCAGGAGGATAGCAAAGGATCTAAACATTTCTTATGAAACGACTCAATACATTTTGCTTAGAGTTTTGAATATAAAGCCTTGCAATGCTAGACTCGGATCGAAGAAACTGAATCTTTAGCAAAAACGACGTCGAGTAGAGATCGTAAAAGAAATGTGACAATCATAAAGGGTAGCTAAGGACTTTACATTCCTCACACGCATTATTACTGGTACCGAAACTGTCCAACATCTGAATGGCGCTCCAAAAATAAGTCGAACCGAACAAAAATAAGTTCGTCGAGACTTATAACAAAAAAAAAAAGAAAAAAAAAACCTTGCCTGAATTGACACAAAACGAGCTTATTTTGTGGGCAATAATAAAGAACGTTGATTAGAACGTCAATACCAGCTAATATTCTTAAGTTTTTCAGTTTTTCTTCGATAGCTATTGCTTTGACAAATAGACTCATGAAGTTCAAAGGCTCCCTGTGAGTTTAGGATGGTGCGATTTAAGCTCGAAAGCTCTGGGATCGCCATAGATCCAGTTCTCGCGTTCGCTCTTTTAAGTAATAGACACGCTTTAATTTTAAGCTCATAGTCAAAACTCATCTGAACCATTAACAGTCGTTCCGAAGCGACATAAAGCATATAAGTACCTCTATGGCGCATAAATAAAAATAAAAGCTCCGTCAGCTCCTAACAAAGAGTTGCAATATTGCCAAGTGGTATTCTTACACTCGGTTACAGCAGTCATCTGAGATTTTAGAAATATGTACAATTCAAAGAAAATTTCCATTATTTTTATATCACTGATATATTAACTTCTAAATTTACGCTAAGATAACTTACAACGCTTTTCTCTCTTTCACAGGCAATCTGTTATCGTGTTCCAATGAAGGTGAAGTGGTGCAAATTACGGATTTGAAAATAACTTCAAAGTGTTATCAGTGTACCTGTAAGGTGAGTTCAAATGCATGAAAAATAAAATTTTCAGTCCATTTAATATTTATTTATTGGCACTCAGTCTTATTTTGATCGTCAAATATTGAGATTTATTCAAATATTGTGAAAGTTTTTTATCCAATATTACCAGCTAATCCAGTCATCCTTATAAACGTAGTAACGTTTGAAGAAATGGTGGTCGTGATTTGAGTACGATATCTCAAAAACTGTGGAATTAGTTTACGTAAACTTCGTAGCAAACTTAATATACTCTGTTAAGGGCATAAAAATACCACGAATGCCGCAAAATATCTTACACATGTGCTTCGGGCTATTCTTAGGGTTCCTAACGCCTAACCTTGATGCCATCCAATTCAAAATTAAATCTTTCAGATCATTCTTGTAATGGTAAACAGCATTTAATGATTCAAATTAGACTTTATTATAAAGTACAATCTCTCTGAACATTAATACACTTGCTCCAACGATCCTTCAATCTGTGGTGACCATCCACGAAGTGAGAATCCGTAAAGTCTGCAAAATACAGCCGTTATGACCCCTTAATTTGTTGACAAAAGGTTGCCACGCATAAATTTTTTGAGTTCTGGAAACAAATGGAAGTCGCTGGAGGCCAAATCTGGTGAATGCGGTGGATGCTCCAGCAATTTGATCTTTAATTCATGGATTTTAGCCTGTGTTTAAATGCTCTTGTGACACGGTGCATTGTCTTGATGAAAAGTGATTTGTTTCTTCTGAAAACCGGTTCTTTTTTCACGAATTTTTTTCCTTCAACTGATCCGAAAGGTTGCAATAATATTAAAAATTAAACCAGATTGCAAGTAATCCGCAAACAAAATTCCTCTCGCATCCCAAAAAACTGATGCCATAAACTTGTTTTCCCATTACTGGACACGAACTCGTTTCGAAGCCGAACAACCAGGTTCGCACCACCCTTTAACCTCTTATTTTGTTTAAGGATCGTGGTGGTAGACCCAAGTTTCATTCATAGTAATGATTCGATGCGCAAAATCTACTTTATCCTTTTTGAAACGCTACAAATGTTGTAGAAAAATTGTGCACAAAGCTTTCTAAAACCCAAAATTTCATTTAAAATATGGTTCACCTTACCTAATGAGATGTGTGGAGCCTCTACTAAATCTCTCTCAGTCAATCGATGATCTTCCAAAACCATATGTTGTATTTTGGTTATGATTTCTGGTTTTGATGCGCTTTTTGGACGTACTTCACGTGGATCGTCTTCAAGGCTTGTACGACCACGTTTAAATTCAGCAACCCGTCTTTCTACTGTTGTATCGTGAATTTCTTTTGGTGCTACACCTACCAAAAATAAGACTTTCACCATTTCAAGATATTCAATTTTTTTTCCATTCTAAAAAAATGCTGTGACACGGCGTCACTAAATGGCTTGTAAACAAAGAATGAATTGACAGATTGAAATGATACTTATAACAAAATAAAAACATATATATCAAACATATATAACAAAAAAAAATAAATAAAAATTTGGGTTAGTAGCAACGCTCTCTCTCATTGAACCAAGGAACTTCACAGTGCCTCACAACCAGCTCCTTCTCTAGCCACAAATTAGTGAGCTGTTTGCCAACTTAGGAAAAATTAAAAATTAAAACAAGTGCAAAGCATTATTATTATATTATATTACATATTTGAGCCCTTGATTTTGAAAGTGGTATAAGTCAAAAATTTTAAAAATCTAATTTATCAGCTATTACTTATCGAATCTTAATAAAATAACATAATGAAGAGATTAGCAGCATGCCATGCAAATTAACTCTTTAAAATGTGTTTATTTTTTAGTTGTTTACGGCGAATAAATATAAGTAATGCTCCCAAGAAATGGAAACGAATAAGAATGATATCGTCTTCTGATGAATCAGCTAATAGTTTAAAAGTGAATTCGAAACAAATGGAAGAAAGCAAAATAAAATCAAGAAAGAGAACACGCAATCAACAGAATTATGCAAAGAATATAAGAAAAAAGAAGAGAAATCGTGGAGAGGAATATGAAGCAAAAAACTCTAAGCACGTGAGTGCTAAACTTTTCGAAAATATAGATTGTCTTTGTTGCAAAAATTGTTTAAATGGAATCGGTTATGGAGACAGAAAATCTACTTTTGATTATTTTTGGAATTTAGCAAGTTTCGAAAAACCGAATATGTTTCTGTATTTCTTGAATACAAAACAATCAATAAAACAAAAACGCCCTAGAAATCACAAAGGATATATGAGAAAATGGAGTCTTAAGTTTCATCTATATGTATGTATGAGTTTTTTTTTTTTTTTTTGATACTTTCAAAATATCTAACGGAAGATTAAGCCGTGCCTTAAATTCTGAAACACCTGGAATGGATGGTCGCGGTAAAATGACTAGTTCATCTAGAAAAACAGATGAAGAAAAAATTAAAGTAGTACAAGATCATATTCTGAGTTATCCAGCATGTGAGAGGCATTACACGCAATCACATCACACTTCAGGTCGAAAGTATCTAAGTGCTGACTTAGATAGTCGAAAAATGTATGGGCTATATGTGGAAAAATGTGATGTCATAAATTTATGGTATCCGGCCATTCTTTTCCGCCAAATAATCGCGATTTTTGTTTGATAGAAACTAAAATTAAAAAATCGCATTAGTTATACATCCCTGAGCATTATTATAATTTAATAAAATCATGTGAGAGCAGAAACCCATTTTCGGTAATACAAATGCATCAAAAAGTTTTTTTTTCTACAAGACAACTAAAAGAATCAACATCAATGGAGAAACTGTGCGTTGGCTTAAAATACAATGGATCAGATTTTTAAAAACTGCCCCGTATAAGATGTTTTATAAAACTTCCTTGGATGACAACTACGAATTCAAAGTATTAGACCTCTCACCGAAAAAATGAAGACCTAGAATATATGGAAATATTGATTTACTTCCATTATACACAACCCTTAGACCAATCACAAAAAAAAAAAACGTAAAGATGTAATATGATGGATCTACTGCCCTCTATTCCGCCCAATTTTCACAAACACTTTATTTCCCTAAATACTAATGAACAATTTACTTAGTCACAATAAAAGGAGTTTGAATAAAATCTTAATTACAATTATAAGTCATTTGTAAAGTCATGCAGTTAATTTTGAAAGTTGTACAAGTCATTTGAACCTTTCAAAACCACATTTCCTTTTAAAAATGGCTATAAATTTCACAATCATAATAAAAACTTGTTTGTTGGGACTACTTTACTGTCGAAAAATCATAATCCATAATGCAAGAATATATTTTAATACTTCAAAATGCCAAACTCTAAATATCTTGAAACAAACAAAATATGACTTATACCACTTTCAGAATCATGGGCACATTTATTGCAATCATAGCATAGAAACAAATCTTGCCACAAAGCAATCACACACACGCTCACATTGCAAGTAATATGCAAGAAGAATTGTGTTCAAATAAAGTACTCAACTATAATCTTGAGCAATCGCAAAATGAAACGAGTATGCATCTATTATCATAGCACAATAAAGGGTGTCCAGTTATGAATGCCTAGTAAATATATTTTAATGCAACAACAAAAATTTGGTTGTGTTCATATAGTTTTGGAAATGGTATCTTTGATTGGATATCCAGAAAGAAACCGAGTAGATAGATTCGAGTCATATGAGCGCAAACCTTTCGAAGTAATACACTGAACGCCCAGAAGTATAGTAGAAGTTCGTTTTCCTGTCTGTATATAACCTTTTCTCTTCAAGAAACTGCTCATATGTCGAAACCGTCGATATGGGACCACTTTAGCATATACCTGTCTTACAAACTTATCGATCAAACTTAAGTCCTTGTATGGAAGAAAATATTCAGATCGAACCACTGAATGATCGAAATCAAGTTCTTGTATGTAAAAATTTTTTGTTGAATAGATGTCTTCTAGAAATTATATATCCCAAGTTCCCGCCTTTCCAAGTGATTAATGCAAACTAGGTGCTTGGATGTGAATACAGAAGGGAAAATTATTGATTCTATATTAGATTCAAACTTATTCAAGGAGTTGGAGATGGAAACGCATAAGACTAGATATAAAAGATGTGAAGTCACTTAAGCCAAGATGACGAGATCATTGACCTGACTTGAGATCATCAAGAACATTTGGGTATAATGAAGCGGAGCGGCCGGATTTTTTTCCGAACGAGGACTGTCAACTCGGCACAATTCCTCGAAATTGCTTTAGGAATGTTTTCTGCTGCTACAACAACCAAAAAGAAGTATATTTCAGAGCTCTTTTGTAGTGAAACGTACTCCATTCACTTTGTCGTGTGGTATCCTTGATAATGCTGTCGACAATAAGTTAAGTTAAGGTAATTTTTCCAACAAATCTCGTTGACGGAGAAGTGGCTTTGTACTTCGTGGTAGCAAAAACCTTCAAAAATGTTTTTCGGCTCGCAGAGACAAGGCCTAAATTATATTATAGTTAGTAACAAGTGGAGACTGGAACTGTAAACTGTGGAATCTATTGAAACAGACCGTTCTCTATGTTTGTTCTCTTTTAAGCAACCGTAGCTGTGGACAACCATTTGGGTGCTGCTAAAGGGTTTGAAAAAAAAATTTCTAATATTAATGATCATTGTGGACCGGTGAGTAATTATTAGTGACTGCAATAGCTGGTAGATTGAGCATAAATAATATCCAGGCCTGCAGACCCGCTTGCGGTGCCCAACACTGAACTGTATTGAGAGTGGTGGTTAGAATATTGCTGTCTGTAGACACTTGCCCGTTATGAAGATGGCTACATATGTCCTCCGCATATGCCACTATCTTAGAGACTTTGCCGTCCAAGTTCCTTCTAGAGGTCAAGAGGCTTTTGATCCAGAGTTGTATAGCAGAGTTGACATCTATTGACTAGATACTATTCAAAATAGATTCCGTAGAGGCGTTGCTAATGCTGCAGAAGTGTCCACGAATGCTCCAAGAGCATATTCTTTATATTCA